TTGTTAGGTCAAACTCCATTCACGGCAGCAGCTGAGTCCTAACATACTGCACACTACAAACCACAATCTTGACCAATCCTCGCATCACTCCTCCTGGAGTCTACCAGAGCTAAAGCAGTCGAGTGGCGGGATTTACTACGCATAAGTTCACCGAAGATCTGGAACCTCTACCTTAAAATCAAGAAGCGAGCTCAAAGAAATCACTGGTTTATACTAGCTCGTAATCAGGATATTGGATATTGGATATTGGATACCGCACTTTTCGACAATATGAGTTACTTTGAAGTTGACTTTCCTTAGGTTTAGTGTTTTTTTGTAAGTCCTTGTTGTATCAGTTCTGTTTTTATGTTCCAATCTACAATATTGTCTTATTTTAGACTAAGTTTATGCTTGTTATATGGGGTTCATGATATTGTTAATACCACATTTTGTCATAAAGTAGTATTAAGTGATAAAGAATAGTAACATGAAATAAGTTTATACGCCTTGCGACAATATACTGTCTAGTCGGAACCAAGAACTGACATTCCTTATGTGTAAGCGCTATGCACTCAAAAGTTCCGAAGTTTCCAATTACCTTGCGACCTATATTCGCCAAGTTTTAACGATTTAAGGATCTTCTTATCCCAGTTTTTGAATAAATCCACTCTTCTTATTGTGACTACACCTTAAATTTTCATCATTGCTCAGCTGAGATGTTAGTTAACCGTTATAGATTCCAGCTAGCCTTGACTTCGGGCGCATTGCAGAATGTTTGGGACAGCCCCGAAGATTCCGCACTGCACTCGAAAAAAGTACTAGATGGTTATATCAGTCAGAAAATAAATAGTTCGGAGAGAAAAGTCGGATATTGTTATCGAATACTCTATAGTTTAATTCCGTTTGTGCAGGAAATAGCTGTCGTGGTGTATTGGAGTGAAGTGTTAACCAGCATTTGTGCTTATATCCCATTAGTTGATTTTCTAATGCGCGGACTACTTGTGGAACACCTAGCTTTGATCATCTAAATGGCATCTAGTCCACTTACCGGTATTCCCTCGATGGGATGAAAACAAATTTTATATTTCAAAATGAGGTTAGATTGTTATTCCTTGTGTTCTATGAAAGTTGAACCACTTAAAAATCAAACATTCAAGGTTAGAATTTTCAAACGATGAAAAAGTTTGCATGACTTATTGTACGTGGAGCTAGTTTTTATGTCATCTGTTTGATCAAAGTTATCAGATATTTCGTAATTAATATAACTACTTAGGAAAGATGAGGTCGGGGTACATTTTATTTAGAAAATTTAGTGTTAAGGTCAGTTCATTATCAAAAAATTATGATAAACAGTAACCAAAATTTCTGCTAAAAGATTTCTAACCTCCATCCGTCTAAGTTATGTACGTGCAGGATAAATCATTGTGATATAAAAGTGTTTGAAGTATTATATAGTTTTTAAAAGCTGGTAGTGTCTAGCGAAATACCCTTTCTTAATTTCAATATTTGCCCATCGAAAAGCCGATATTACTTTAGAGTTAGGACAAGCTGCTGTTATTTTTGCTAGAAACGTCTGTCTAACCTAAAGATATCCTGCCGAAATCCAGTTTGTTTCTAGATGTTAGTAACATTAGATGTCCAGTGAAAACTGATCTGTTGCCATGGTTCCCTTTTACAAATAATCAGTCGAGATATTTCCATAGCTCTATCAATTCTTCTTCAAGCGGCTATTATCCTATACCTGTGGGTTGACGTTACAATATTTTACGGTTATAATTACACACTGGAGTTACACATCGATAAAACTCATAAAACACCTAATAACATCTACTCAAGTGATTGACTAGACTACCAAGTTCCCAACTTAAATTTTCGCATAAAAGTGCAGCAGTACGAGCTACCGCAAATCCAAAAAGCTGTGAAATAATAAATAATAACCTGTTGAAGAAAGAATAAGTACATAGAGAGACATAAGGACCTAATGGGTCCGGCAGATCACAAAGATTAAATGTCTCTGAGTCATGTCACCGATAGTTTCACACTATTGAATCTTAGCATATCGAGAATAAGAAGTAAGCGGGTGGCTCAAACCGATAGTTAAAGACCTAGTGGGTTTAATTTTAACTCCCAAAACTCTTTTCAAACTTATTTTTATGTCAGCTAACATTGCTAGGCTAGGTAGGTGATGGCTTGAAATGCCTAACGCGCCCTGGCTATATCAACTGATACATTTTCACAGCCTAGTCTATCGACTTTTCTTCCTTACTTAACACTACTGAATTCAGTTTTGTTAACCATATTATACCACTTAAGACGGGAGATAGAACTCAGACACCTATGGTCGACAACACCTAACCAGCCTCTTCTCTTCATATCCTTATATCCACTTTCAATGGCCATGTCTCACAGGCTGAAAAAGAAGGAGAGAACGAAATGCTAGTCAGCAGACACGTGCTTTCTTCCATAGAGGGATATCATGGATATCTAGGCGAGAGACGATGTAGATTGGCGAAGGCCAGAGGAGCCTTTTCTATAAAGATTAGTGAGTGTTTACACAATGTAGGAGTGAATACATCAGCGTGGTTATGGACGATTTTGAGTTATGCCAACAAGTGTCTCCAAATCTTGGTTGTGAGAAATCCGAGGAGTGCAGTCAGATAGTATTCATCGCCTACCTGTCTAAACACGCCAGTCAGACATTTCATAGATTGACGCCGTACATTCTTCTGACCATCTGAAATTCAATCTCTCTCAACTTAATCCTACGTCAGCTAAGATTGGTCGTCGAGAGAGATGGTGAATCGGTAGGCGTAAAACATGCAACCAACTCGGTCGATGCAGCTTCGCAGGCTGATCGATTGACTTCCCCTGCTTGCCTAACACTCTACGTCTAACATCAGCATTACTCAGCATATTATACCACTTAAGACGGGAGATAGAACTCAGACACCTATGGTCGACAACACCTAACCAGCCTCTTCTCTTCATATCCTTATATTCACTTTCAATGGCCATGTCTCACAGGCACAAAAAAGGAGAGGACGAAATGTTAGTCTGTAGACACGTGCTTTCTTCGATAGCCGGATATCACGGATATCTAGGCGAGAGACGATGTAGATTGGCGAAGGCCAGAGGAGCCTTTTCTATCAGTGGTGAGATTTCGTCAGCAATCAGTCCATCAGTTAGTAGAGTTCTTTTTAATTGGACGTCAATGGTTTTTTTACTATACAGGAAACAATACTATAGTTTTTCACTGGATTCTTTGTCGAGTAAAATATTCAAACATTATCAAGCTATAATATTAGTATTACCAACGGATATCTGCTATGCTATTATAAATCCATACCAAGGTTTATTGTGTTCTCTTAATATACATAAAAGCTAAAAATGGTTTTATTTTACTATTCAGTCGCATGTCTCGTTATTTTCGCAGTTTTTACATTTCAGGAAGGACATATATTTCAAAAACGAAGATTTATTTATTTGGCACTACTCTTGATCCTCTTGTATACACATTGAAAGACACTGAGAAAAACCAATACTTGAAAAAAACACCGAACTTCATTGAGAACGGAATAACCTCGTTTGAAAAAAAACATTCAAAAGTAGGTTGCATAAATCAGAAAAGTATACTTTTCAAGGACTTTGCGAAACTCGATGTCATTATAGTCGCATAGTCATAATATCAACTAGAGTCAGTGAATTTTTATATACGAATGTTCGACTTCGTACTCGTTGAATGGTTTCAGTAAAACAATGGGTTGTGAGAAGCAGTCTGAACTGGAACTCTTAGCAAAACTGGAGGAACAAAATCGGTAGTCTTCATATTATATATTATTATTTTTTTACGAATAGAGCCCTGTTTTCGGACGCTAAAATTGTCCCCTCACTACAGACACATCGACGTCGTGAAGGCTCCTTATCAAGCAGCATTTCTACTGGATCGGGACAAGACGATACGCGAAGTAAGGTGTTATTTACTAAAAGTCGATTTGTCCTTATATTCAGTTTTTCAATAAAATGTCATATATTATTGTGTGCTCCAATTACTTTAAGACCCCGTTTCATGTCATAAACTCTAACTTCTTTAGGGTGGTATTATTATTAATATTATTGTTATTCCTTCCTTGCCTTCCGAGTGGAACGTAGGGCTTCAGCGGCACATCAATCTCACTCACTTCTTTACCATTACTTTCAGCCGGCTCCACAATCTCCTACAGGCCTTCTTTTTCCCCTCATATAGTCTTCTCTATGTCACCTTCAGAAACATACCCATCTCGTCGCCTCTTATTCTGATTCCACTTGATGGCCTGCCTAGTGTGCAATGTCACTTGAATGTCTCGGCGTATTTCAATCCCCTCCCCATTTCCTTCTGCTAATTTTTGATTTGGCAATAGTTTGTTGTCTGGTTTTCTGCCAGAATTATTTGTTGCTTATCCTTCCTAGCCGGTCGGCCATCTGATCTTCAGTATCCAGACAATGAAAGGGTCAGCTGCTGATGAAAGTTTGTAGGAAGATGTTAGAAGTACTCCTTGTAACGCGTGCGTTGACTTGATATAGCTTAATGTAGGTTAAAGTATGTGATATTCATGTATTGTCTCAATTTTTTACTTCCTCTATCTAGGTTCGGGAACACCTTCATTTCAAAACAACGGTCATACAAACTATTCATCATTGTCATCATCTAAGTTGAATAGTGCTTCTGGAGTTTCACTTCCTTTAATGATTGGATGGACTGCAGGTGCACCTGTCAGTAGTTCTATTCGAGAACAATGGGATTATGTAGTGAATAATTGGGAACAATGTTCTAAGAAAAAGTCCTATGTTTCTGTAAGTTTGTAGAAATTTTTTGAAAATAAACTGTCAATCTCTTTATTTAATAGCCTATCCTTTGCATCGATTTTCGAACAGTTGTCTAGCCTTAATAATTGTTGTTCCTCAGTTCCTCAAAGCAGATCTTTCATATTCCAGGTTATGAGACACACCTATTTTGAGAAGGCTGTTCATACCACCCAGTTAGTTGCTTGGGTTGAACTAGGTGAAGCGTGCTGCGTATGCCTAACCATCGTCTCCCCTGACGGGCATTACTAGCTGATATAGGTGCAGGTTGGAAAAGAGTAAGTGGTGGCCAAACGAAAACATGGCATCAATCCATGAAATCACTGACAGTTAAACTGAGTCAGGTAGGGAGATGCAGACTTCCGGGTTGGGGCCCGTCATCGGGAGGCGATGGCTAGGCATGCGCAGCACGTGACCTAGCCATCTCAATCTATGTAACTTTATAGCCTCTTCGATTGATTTTCCCTCTGGACAGATTTGTAGCTCAGGTGGATGATTTGCCATTGATAGTGTTCTCTGAGCTCTGAAACTGAACCGAACAGCTTAGAGAACACTATTAATTGGTTCCTCGTTGGTTCACCCACAGAGATCCCAACCCGTTGCTGATCTTCTCCGGCCATCTGATCTTGGGTATTGAGCGAAGAAAACTGTTGATGAAGGTCTGTAGTTTGTTCGAAGTACCATTAGTGACGCACTGGCCAAGTCTCCGATTCGTATGGTAAGTAGCACTGACTTCACATTGGAGTTGTCAATCCGGATCTTATTTTCCATGCTGAACAGTGCTGTTCACCTCCACACAGACTTGAGAGAAATGAAATCTTCCCTTGCTCTCCCAATCCTCGCTTTGATATCCTCATCAGTTCCGTCCACCTGTAGTTGAAACGATGCTTCCCAGGTAGGTAGGTGGGTAGGCAAAGGAGGTTGCTTCTTTCAGGTTTCTGCCATTTATGCTGGCTGATTGTTGTCTGTTGTTGTTGCCGCTGGTGTTGCTGTCGGTGTTGACCAGGAACTCTTCATCACCTACGTCTGTTTTCTCTATGTTCATCTAAAGTCCCTCCTATCTCTGATGCTCCTTCTGCCAACCTGTTGCTTCTCACTTGCATATCCTCCAGTTTTCCGAAGTCAGACATATATCCTCGGCGAAATCCAGATCCTCCAAGTTCCTTCTTTTGTGTGTCCATTTTATGCCTGTCTCCTCGTTGGCCACTGTGTTTCTGTCGCATTATCCAGTCCACCGGAATCAGGAAAATCATTGGACATAGTAGGCAGCCAGCCAGCCAGCTTGTCTTACTTCCGTCTTCACCTCGCAGAATTCCGGCATGCAGAATTGGCGTACAACTGTTGGATGAGGTGTATAAATGTGTAGTGGCACCCCGTAGTAGCGAAGTAGTTTCCAAATCACCTCTCGATCGACGCTGCGCTATGGCAGCCCTTTTCAAAGTCGATTAAGTTGAGTGAGGTAGAAAGCTGACTGCCATTCCGAGCTCTATTCAATGATGATGCGTAGTGTTGCGATTTCTCCTGAATACGGTCTGTTCCCGCTGACGTTTTCGATCCAGTGCGTGTTCCTTTCTCTCCAGGATCATGCGGCTTAGTAGTCTGCTTGGGATAAACAGGAGCATAATGCCGCACCAGTTCTTGCAGTTCGGATAAGTAGCCTTCCTTCCGATCCACACGCAGCTTGTCCTCTTTCCACATCTTCTCCAGTAGTGGTGTCATCAAGTCCGCTGATGTCTCTGGGTCTATTTTCAGGTTGGAAAAGAGTAAGTGGTGGCCAAACGAAAACATAGCATCAATCCATGAAATCACTGACAGTTAAACTGAGTCAGGTAGGGAGATGCAGACTTCCGGGTTGGGGCCCTCGGGACTCTAAGAATCAATGGATTGAGACAATAGGTGACATGGCTCAAAATCGTTGTCAATGGCGCAGATGTATTCAGTCTTTTTAACCTTCATATTCCTTTCTACCATTACTCATTCTGTTTCACTCTTATACTTATCTAAATTCTATTGATTCTCTTCACTCATTTTCCTGTCTACCTTTGTGTGCTATTTGGAACGTGGCAACTCGAACTGCACTTCGGTGCCAAGTTCTATGTTGAATCCAACCAGCCAGGATTCAGTCCAGGCAAGTAAATAGTCTACCTCGTAACTTGAAGGTCGTAGGTACGTACCTATGAGGAGTCGCAAAGAAGGAGGGCGAAAAAACTGTCCAGTACTACCTGATTCTTAGTATTTCTCTAACCAATGTCATTTCATAATGTACCTTGAAATCAATCAAATCCCTGAGAACCAACGCTTGAAAGTATCCCATAGATTTATTTTTAAAATGCTCACGTACATAGTTAATTGTTCTCACCTAGTTCATTTTTCTTTCTTTTTCTCGTAGGATCTCATTAGAAAAGGTGTTCCAGATGAATTTCGTCCGTTGATTTGGCAACTGTACACTGGCGCTTATGATTCAGCTGTTAAAAAACACTATCATAATTATTTGTTAGTTGATTCACCTGTTGAGAAGGCTATTCGTCGAGATATTGCACGAACATTTCCTAAACATGATTTATTTAAAGATGAGGTGAGTTAATTTATTCGAAATACCCCCTCCCTAACTGTAGTTGAGTATATTATATTTTAAATACTCATTCCTTGTTGGTCTGAATGATAGACTAGTGGATAGATAATGATTTGGTATTTGAAGTGGTGGGCGCTAGGTTCGAGTCCCAGCGTGAGAATTATCACTCACTTGGTATATAGGTGCATCCAGCCAATCCTCTGTTAGCCACAATCAATCAAATGACATATTGTTAAGCCACATTTATGATCGAAGCGTGTGTACTAGAAACCGATCAGTCAGAAGAGACCAAGCGGTTCAGCCCAATAAAAATCAATCAACGGGAAATTAAAATTAACTTAAACAAATTACAAATTCACACAGGAGATAGCTCTCGTGGACCAGTGGCATAGTGGATAACGCTTTGGCATTTGCAAACATGGGTGCTATGTTCCAGTCTAAATGGGGACGTCACCACTCATCGAGGTATGCAGGTGTATCCATCTGATAAGTCCCAAATAGGAAGAAATGCACCTCCTGGATTCCATAGTTGGCTAACATTAGTCAAACAGTATTATGACCTACGATTTTTAACGAATACTGAATGGTCGTGTATGTACAAAGTAAATTGCACATTGACCTCGAAGCTTGAAGGTCTTGCGTTGGGATGCTTAAAAAATGCAGTAGTCGTGGTTGCACGCCACTGATGAGTCCGAAAACTAAGACAAAATAACTGTTCATTGCTGCACGGATGTGTTAGTTTATGACAAAATCCACATCTAAATCACTCATCGCTACACTCAATGCTACACTTTGTATCAGAGAAATTGTAGTCAGTTGGTTGTTATTGGTTTGAGAAGCTTACTCACTAATAGTCAGTTAAAAGACGAGTGAAAGCGTTTTCAATTTTGAAATTCTAAACCTTTTTTTTTCACCAGTCGTTGCTTGATCATTTCCTTTTAAAAAAGAAGGTATATAGGCAGTAGCGTTTGGTTAATGTGGCTTCGAATCACTGAGATCAGGAGATATCACTTCTTCAAGGGTGGTAGAGATACACTGCTGACTGACAAGTGCCAATATGTATGAAACCTTAAATTCAAAGCTTCCTAGAGATTTTTTTTTCAGTCATTATTTCTCAGCCTAAATTTAGGTTTTCACCAATATCTTTTACTACATATATTTGCTTCCAAGTACTTTCACTGTTTTAAAAGTTGACGTTTTTACTTACCTATTCATTCCATCCATTCATTTATTCCCCTTCTTGATCCTCTTTTGTAATTCTTAACCTTGAAACTTGTATTTCTATTGTATTGTTGTTAATGTGTTCTTTATTTCTTGTGCAAAAAACGAACTCTATTATAGTACACTGTTACATTGAAACTGTATTGTTTTGACCTGAATTTCAAAGAATGCGCTTGATCAAATTTTAGTGATGTGATGTGTATCTTTCTCAGTGTGTTTATGTGTGTACTTACCTTCCATCGATCGGTTTTATGCTGCCTTCTCTTTCTCTATATACTAACTTTGACTTCGTTTTGTCCAGCTGTATATATGTACATGTGTTTGTGTGTGTGTGTGCGCGTGTGTTTGTTTTGTTCGCGTCAATTGTTTTCTGAGATATTTCTTTTCCCACATTCTAAGAAGTATAAAAAATGCAGATGAAGTTGACTAGGTAGCTAGTTGCATTGTGTCATAATTAGTAGTAGTGGTAGTGATGTTTACCCTGTCTCCCCCCCCTCCTGTTTGCAATTATCCGGTAGTGAAAATTTGTTTTTAGGAATTTTTCAGTTTCCCTTCCAAAGCAGTCTCCATCACAGGTTGGTCGAAATTAGCCGTAAAACAGTGACAGAAAGGCACTATTGAGAAACAAAATAGCCCACTGGTTCATTAGATGATGCCCATCTGTAGTTATATTTCGTGATTTCTCCATCACACGTATAAAATTTCTGAGTGCGATTGATCAGCCTCAGACTTCACCAAACAACCCAACTTATAGCCTTTACTTTGTCACGTGGTGGCCGGGCTTGCATGTCTCAGTGACCCCAGACGTGGTACACTGTCTGCAGCGAGTGCTCTTGCACGTTCTACCATCCTAGAAACTTCGTTTAGATAGCCATTACACTAGAAGCAATCCCTTTCATGGTGTAAGTCTTTTGCCCTGTGTTGGGGATCTGAGATCGAAGTTGAGTTGTATCAACAGTAGGATGTTTTCCACGGACGATCATCAAGCCATCTGTGCTGCAAAGAGTTAGGAATTATATTTCGTTTAGGCCTTATTGAATTGCCTCTATGCATCACCTAATGTACGAAGTGAGATGCAGAGCTGCGGCTCTTTGATCTAGGTACTGGAGCTTCAACCACTGACTAGTTTGAAAATTACTTTGAAAAGAGTAGATGATACGTTAAATCTCTTAAAGATAAATGAATGGAGTTGAACTGCGATTCTTAGGAATTCAGATGATGAGTGTGATTTGTGTTTGATCAGGTTAGCCTCATCCCAGTGTCTGTCTGACTACAAATACCTGATTACTGGTAGGTGTTTGTGATCAGCTTATCACATGTTGTACGCCTTGAAGGGTGTTTGGTTCTGTTTGTCAGTGCACTTTCTTAGGGTGTTCAATGCCACTGGGCTTGCTGCAGTCAAACCCAACAGATCTCATTAACATTGAGGTCAGTTAGTTTGAGAAATGACTAACTACATGCGTCTCATCACGACCACATGGATTGATTTCCCCTCCTTGCCTGACACTACACCTAATACAGGAGACAGATAGTGAACGGTATCCTTACTGTGGAGTTGAGGATCTTTGAAAGGCGTCTCGATTAAATGCTTTTAGAAGTGATCACACTTTATTTAGACTTTTCTTTAGAAAATCAATGGAAAGAATAAATATGAGTCTGAGTTTGTACATACAATAACAGCGAAGTATATGCACACCATTTACGTACACGAATATGTATTTGAATTTGTAGTCGTGCAGATTTTTTCATTTGCATAGTTGTATATATCATTCATATCCTTGACGTACACATAGACATAACAGAGTAAAATGACTCGTTTGTGTTATCTGAAATAGTTGTGTGTGTGTGTGTGATAGGGGGTTCGATAAGCTCAAAATCAAACGAGCGATTCGGTTGTCACCTTCAAGAGGCCACTACCACAATCTGGTTGGCAGACACTATTGGTTTTCTAACTTCTCACATATATCATCAGACATGGTTAAAAAAATTTCACATAAATTACACAACGAGACGATATTATGTGGTCTGTATAATAAACAAAACAATATGAAATTATACACAACCCCTGTGCCCAAGTTTTGCATATATATATATATATCACATTGTCCCATTGGTGAGTGTTGTTAGTCCTTTGTGTCCGTGCTAATTTCAATTCCAAGCAGTTAAGTTTTCAATATGGAGTCAACAAGCTAGTTAACTCGCCATCGCAGTGGACTTTGAAATGATATTAGACGGTGGGTGATAATCGACAAAAAGCCTTGGACCTAGATTTTGTACTTTTATTGATGCTCATCATTTACAACAAGTTGCATATCTTCAATCCCGACGAAATTGATACTCATTCAGATATTCTAATCTGCATTATCGTGTGCTATAGTCACAAATGTTGCCACTGAACTATTCGGTTTGACGATTGATCACATTGACGACTGGAATGGACGTGTTAATTACTTACCAGGCAGTAACCGATATTGTGTTGACGTATACCAATAAGCTAAATACCTAGGCCTACGGCTTCCTGTGGAATGCCGCTAAATTCCTAACATATATATATATATCAATACAACTGGTTCCTGGTTGAAATAATAGCGAAGATTTGTAGCTCAGGTGGATGATTTGCCATTGATAGTGTTCTCTGAGCTCTGAAACTGAACTGAACAGCTACGAGAACACTATTAATTGGTTCCTCTTTCGTTCACCCACAGAGATCCCACCCCGTTGCTGATCTTCTCCGGCCATCTGATCTTGGGTATTGAGCGAAGAAAACTGTTGATGAAGGTCTGTAGTTTGTTCGAAGTACCATTAGTGACGCACTGGCCAAGTCTCCGATTCGTATGGTGAGTAGCACTGACTTCACATTGGAGTTGTCAATCCGGATCTTATTTTCCATGCTGAACAGTGCTATTGACCTCCACACAGACTTGAGAGAAATGAAATCTTCCCTTGCTCTCCCAATCCTCGCTTTGATATCCTCATCAGTTCCGTCCACCTGTAGTTGAAACGATGCTTCCCAGGTAGGTAGGTGGGTAGGCAAAGGAGGTTGCCTCTTTCAGGTTTCTCCCATTTATGCTGGCTGATTGTTGTCTGTTGTTGTTGCCGCTGGTGTTGCTGTCGGTGTGGACCAGGAACTCTTCATCACCTACGTCTGTTTTCCCAATGTTCATCTAAAGTCCCTCCTATCTCTGATGCTCCTTCTGCCAACCTGTTGCTTCTCACTTGCATATCCTCCAGTTTTCCGAAGTCAGACATATATCCTCGGCGAAATCCAGATCCTCCAAGTTCCTTCTTTTGTGTGTCCATTTTATGCCTGTCTCCTCGTTGGCCACTGTGTTTCTGTCGCATTATCCAGTCCACCGAAATCAGGAAAATCATTGGACATAGTAGGCAGCCAACCAGCCAGCTTGTCTTACTTCCGTCTTCACCTCGCAGAATTCCGGCATGCAGAATTGGCGTACAACTGTTGGATGAGGTGTATAAATGTGTAGTGGCACCCCGTAGTAGCGAAGTAGTTTCCAAATCACCTCTCGATCGACGCTGCGCTATGGCAGCCCTTTTCAAAGTCGATTAAGTTGAGTGAGGTAGAGAGCTGACTGCCATTCCAAGCTCTGTTTAATGATGATACGTAGTGTTGCGATTTAATCGATGCCGTATTGGTTACCATCTAGTAATCTGTAGGTATACACTTTTCATCTCCAGAGATGCATAGTTATTGATTATTTGAGTAGCTTTATTTATACATCGTTGACTTTGACAATGTATGTTAGAGGTTAAAAACGCAGAATTTTTTAATTGATTTCTCCCATAGTTCTATATATATTTGTCTTGAAACCATTTTGTTGCCTATACACTTGGCTAATTTTAATACGGACAGTTAATAAACCTGAATCGATCTCATGGCTTCATACCGTTGGACACGCTAAAAGGAAATGCTTCACAGTGATATAACACTTAGCTTATTGAGTGTATAATACAGCCAGTTGGTTATAAGCTGATCAGATATTTAGGGTCTTAAGTTGGAATACCGCTCCACCTGCTTCAGTATCTGTTCTGTAGGGTAATGTCATCAACACACACTCGCAATCAGTTACATGGGAAATCTATTTATAGTAGCTGCTTCCTAAATAACTAACTAACAGTCTGTTCTAAATTTTCCCATTGTAAATAGTTGCTATGATTTTCAAATTATTCTCTTGGTATGTTTTAGAATGGTTGTGGTCAAGAAAGTTTATTCCGTGTTATAAAAGCCTATTCAATACATGATCCAGAAGTGGGTTATTGTCAGGGATCAGCATTTATTGTCGGTTTGTTGTTGATGCAGGTAAGTGCACTTTTATTATTATTAATATTAATATTATTGGTAACACTGTTTATTATAATCATTATTACTATTCATCGTCTTAAGCATACTTCTTTCAGCAAATGGCATCGCGTTTTTATAATCGCTGTCCACCTACTTTAGCCTGGGAAGCTAGTCAGGTAGTATTATCAACCCATCCACGACAAGCGTGGCTTATAGGATAACACAACAGTATTGCTACTATTGTTATTAGTATTAATAAAAGTGTTATGCGAGAAGAGACTTGGTGACGGAACTTTATAAAGGAAAACATCATAATTATACATCTGTAGTCACACTAAAGTTTGATTAGGTCAGAGGAGAACAAATTGTGCTAATTAATTTGTTGGCAATTGGCCCAAGGATAAACCAGTTGTCCAGTCAGGTTATTTCATATCCACAACTTGAACTAAATCCGGATATGACAAATAAACACTTCTACCTCTGCAGCCAGCCATTAACTTAAAATGTCGATTTCAGTTTTAGCCGCTTCCTATCCATCTGCACTATGCTACAATAGTCGTATTAAATTAGGCAGCAAAAAGGAGTGTTGCTTGACTGTCAGTAGATGATGTAGCTTTCTTAAAGTTGTTTATATTTCCAATACTCCTCAGCTTTTCAGAGATCCTTCTTTACCTGATGTTAATTGATGGCGGAATCCACATTAAAATGAATCGAATTCCCTACAAACCGCCTGAAATCTGCGCATATCAATCACTCTCTCCTGCTCATTAGAGATTATAAGACGGATATCCTGAAATTTTGATGAGATGTCGTAACTACTGGTAAACTGTACCACTTCAGAGTGAGGCAGATGCTCATCGGTAGCACTTGTTGGCCGTAGAGCTATATTACAGATTATCAGAAGTTAGAATACGTAACTAACTAGGGGCTGAATGGTCAACGACCTGGCTTCGTATACTCTGAAAAATTCTGGGCTTCGATACCTGGCAGGGTCGTAGATGCACATTGCTGAAGTTTTCCAGACTAGGAGCAAGTAGCTATCGAATGCTTCTTGTTCTTGGATGATTCTCTTACCCGTGTTGATTAGTAATGAGATCTACATTGGTATTGATCAAAATCCCCCTATAAATCGAAAAATCTGAATATATATATATATATATATATATAAATTCCTTTTTATACTTTAGATGCCTGAACTCAGTTCATTCGCCGTACTTGTTCAGTTAATGAATGATTATCGTTTACGTGAAATGTATAAACCATCAATGATGGAATTGGGTGTTTGTATGTATCAATTAGAACAGTTGATTGCTGATAACCTACCAGATTTGTATACACATTTTCGTACACAATCATTTGCACCGAGTTTATATGCATCCGCTTGGTTTTTAACTCTGTTTTCAACAATTCTGCCTATACCGTTTGCAACACGAGTTATGGATTTTTATATTGTTGAGGTAAGTGTATCGTTACTATTATTATTATTATTCTTTTTATGTGTGATCACTGTTTTGCTAAAATATTCACTTTTGAATTATATTAATTCGAACTTCTCCCTCCTACTCCTCCTCCTCTAATTGGATTCTTTACACATATCGTACTTTACGACTCCTGAAAGCAAAACGGTAAAGTTGGATGGTGATTAGGAAAGTTTCGTGTACTTATGAGAAGTGTGTGCAGACAGTTATTACTTCCTGGCTACCCACGCAGTGGAAGTTGAAATACCTGAAGACAGAAGGAGCATTTTTGTTACGGAGCTCGGGTTACAACTGCTTGAGGCTGGTCACATACATGTACAGTCTGTTCGAAGTCGCTTTTAGAGTTGAATCTGTATGAAGTTATTAATACTGGCTGCTGACTGTCGCAAAGAAAGTTGGGATGTACAATTTTCCGGGTCGACCTTTCTTAACTTCCCCTCCGTTTTCAGAGTGGAGAGTCAGCACAAATGGTTTGCTGGTTGTCCGACGGAAATAACTTTTGTTATATCCCTATCCTCCCGAAGTACCACTTCAAGGTTCCCCCACACCGTCATCACAGTGTGTTAGTGATTTCCATTAAGTGATGGTAACTGCATTTAGTATAACCTCTATCGAAACAACCCTTCTGGCATAGTGGAACCTACAGAAACGTTCGCTGTGGCCAGTTTAGCGTTTTGGGCAATTGCAGTTTACAAACTGGAGCACCAGGTGTCAAGGTAGCAACTGTCATTCGAACTATATAACTTAGCAACTATTTGTACACATCCATTTACTCCTAGACGAATATGAAGCACATTTAGACAATTAAATCAAAATATTTAGAGAAATGTCAGGTGAAATAAAGGGCGTGCGTTTCGTCTTAATTTGGTACTCATCAGTAAAGTTTAACACCTGGATTCCATGTGAGTTAGTGATGGAGTTCCCTTGGAGGACTCGAACCAATCACCTACTCATCGCTTCAGGAACTAAGGAGTGTTCTTGTTGAGTAATATCGAGGAATATACCAAAACTGGACTGATCAGTTTCGGTTCATATGTACTTCAACAGGAAATCAAAAATATCATTAAACAAATAGAGAGGGAATTTGGAAATCTAATCCCCCCCCGCAATAAACTAGTGAGTCACACTATCAGATTTTATCATTATATCCTGAAACACATGACGTACATACAGATTATTTTGATAATCTATCGTTTTTACAGTTTGTAGCTTTCTCAGTAAGGTTGTTTAATACTCTGACAACTGTCATCAGTTTTCAGTATTCACTTACTTCTTGTATATCATTATTTGTCACATTTCAGTGTGTGTTGCTGTATTTCTGATTCGAAAACAAATGGTAACTGTGACGAGTCATGTGCTGAACTGTTCTCCTCAACCTCTCCATGATTTTAACTGATTAGTTTATATCATAGATTTTATGAAAAATGGAATGTGATTTAAAACACCTTCTGCTGAGTAGATTTCGAAAGTTTTTCAAATAAAATAAAATTTCCACTGCTTAATGAGATTAGACGAAGTGTTGGTTAGATAAGAAAGGAAAGCCAACGGATGATATTGTGATTGTGATGGCTAAAACACTCACTAACCATACCAAACCATCGCCCTCCTTGGAGAACCCTCTCAAATGAAGTAGAATTAGATTGGAAAGATTTACAGTCGATCAAATCGAAAGATGATATCAATCCAAGAAGTGTGTGACTGTTTGATTGAGCCAAGCAGGAAGATGCAGAATTCTTGGTTGGGATTCTCCAGACACTAAAAATCCCATGATTTGAGACTATCGTTGTGATTGGCGCATATGTATTCACTCTCTATGATTCCTCATATTCACTAGATTGCTTGAAGTCGTAGATCTGAACCCGAGTTGGGTATGACGAGTTGGGCTTCCAAGAGTGACATGAAGGAGATCATGTTAGGAGGAGGAGGAGATGAAAGCTTATGGGTGATCATGGTGTTAGCTGATAAGGACTTCATAAAATAGGATGCAATGCAGATATACTGTTGCAGTCCTTTGTTCTATTCGAAACTTGAAAAAATAATAATGATAATAATATACAAATATATTCAATAATTCCTCACTATTGTCTGTGTTTAGCCTCTTCGATTGATTTTCCCTCTTTGCCCAACACTCTACGCCTAACGTCAACATTACTTACCTTATTATACCACCTAACGCGAGAAAGAGATAGTGAACATCTGTGGTCAAAAACAGACAACCTTTTCATGTCTTCAACTCGTATTGGCCATGTTTCCGAGCCATAGAGAAGGACGGAGCGAACTGCTGAGCAGTACACACGTCCCTTGGTTGGTAGTCGGATGTCACGCCTACGCCAGAGACGGTGTAAATTAGCGAACGAACAAAAACATGGCATCAATCCCTGAAATCACTGACTGTTAAACTGAATCCGATAGGGAGATGCAGACTTCCGGGTCGGGGCCCTTGGGACTCTAATAATCAATGGCTGGAGACAATAGGTGACATGGCTCAAAATCGTTGTCAATGGCTTACGCAGATGTATTCAGTCTCTGTAATCTTCCATATTCCTTTCTACCATTACTCATTCTGTTCCACTCTTATACTTGTCAAAACTCTATTGATTCTCTTCACTCATCTTCTTGTCTACCTTTGTGTGCTATTTGGAACGTGGCAACTCGAACTGCTGCACTTCGGTGCCAAGTTCTACGTTGAATCCAGCCAGCCATTGTCTGTGTTATTATTCCCTCTCACGTACATTTCTGTTCGTAGTGTTGCCTTTCTCAATTTTCTTCTCTTAATTTTGTGTGTTTATGAAGTATGGCAACTTGAATTCGTGCACTGTTGTTCAAAGTTAAGTATTAAAAATTCAGCCAGTCAGTCAAAATTTTTCAGAGAAATGCCAGTCATATTTAGGTCTGAAAAAATATCATAAAATATCAGAAGTTTATTGAATTTACAATCTGTACTTGAATGTTTCATCGGTCTGTCTCTATGTTACTGTCGTTTTACAACTAGATTATATATATATATATATATATATATATATATATATATATATATATATATATATACATATTCAACTGTGAGTGTAAGTCGTATCTTTTGTTGGACAATTGGGATTTGTGTGTGTGTGTGAGAGAGAGAGAGAAATCGGGAGACAGACACTGAAGTTAATAATGCGTCACTTTACTCATCATATCAGCATCCGAAAATTGGATGGTTTTGCTATATTTTTTTTAAAAACCAAATTCATTTTTTTTGCAGTTGGATTTTTGTTTGATACCTCAAATGAATGATTCATTCTTTTGTGCCCTAGAGACTTGATTATTATTGTATTTTCAAATGGTTTGTTTCGGCAGTCTCAAATGTCTGCTTTATCCGTATTGTACGTTCCATCTAGCGTGAAATAGAACGTCCTAGTAGTTTTGCAGAGAAACATGAATAAATTGATGGGAAAGCCTGAAATGATTACAGCACTCCGAAAACCGTTGTCTGTTAAGTTTTCATTCAATGGGTATTTGTCAAATAAAATTTCATTCCACTGACTGGCTGGATCTGTATGGGAGACATTTTACACTGTAGACGTGTATTTGCCATTTTCTAATTGGAGAACAATTATGACTTAAACAGAGAATAAACCAGATAGGCTTGTCACATCTATATTTTTTGTCAAGCGTTGACTGAAGCTCGAATTCAATGGACATTGGATACCAATGAGTATGTGGTCAACGGACTCGCCTGGTAACCTAAACGTTTTGGGTTCGATCCCCGGCGAGGTCACGGGTGTGTGCAGACGACGAGTCCCGGACTGGGACGAAGCGACTGTGTAGTAGTCTCTGGTTTCTCCTGTGCGTCGGTGGCACAGTGGTTATGACTCTCGCCGACCATGCACATGGTCCGGAGTTCGATCCCCTGCCGGCGCACACCCGATATCTATGGTCGGCCTGAATTTGGGCCACCGATATCCATGCTGAAAATTCCACACTTGTACTGAAAATACGGTGTGGAATCAAGCTGTAAATCAAAAAAAAAAAAATAAAAATACTCATATCCATCCACGATAAAACTTGAAACATCTGTGTGTATTCATGAATCCATCTGCTAGTGTTATGCTGGGCGTACTACTAGACAGCTTAACTAACATACCACAGAGCATCTCTCATCGTGGTGTTTGGTAAAGGACAGAAGCTCGTGGAAGCTTTTATTCTAGGCATTTAGCCAATAGTTGGTATTCAGTAGGCAAAACTAAAGCCTTCAAGGGGATTCATCGAATCTTCCCAACGGTCTTTATATTCGCCTAGTAAATATAGTGGAGGCGATTGGCATTCAAACTATTAAGCCTAAACTATGCATTCTGTAGAAGTTCGTACAGCTGCTGTTAACTCTCACGTGACTAAATAAGGACCTAACCACTTAAGTGTGCCACCACTATCACCACGCCTGACATACTTTTAATTCCTTTCTACTTTAGTTTTACTGCATCTTTATTAGAGGTTAGTTTATTTACTTCCCTTACAGAGTCTAGTGTTATGTAATCCTATTATTTGTTTTCTAAGCCTTTATTTACCACGTTTATTTGTTTTAATGACGAGTTCATTCTGTTTTCATCTTTTTTTTGTTAATACAATTATTATTACTCATATAATTATGACTAAATGTAGAATTTATATGCACAAACTTTTCAGGCTTTACTCTAATATGCATGACTTCATAAATAAATATTAAATATAAGCCAATCATGATGAATTTTTCAATAAGATGAAGAGATCTAATTGAAAATACAGTGTTCTAATGTGATTTAATCAATTTGTGAGTTCTTATACGATGTACATGTTCAATCATAAAACAACAGGTTTTCATCTATTTGCATTGACACTTTAACTTGCGTATACTTCCGTTTCTTAGGTGTACTTAATATTCACCTCTATTCAAGACAGGCATATCATACTGGGATTTTATTTTATTATTAAATATTCCACACTATGCATAGACTGTTTGAGCT